TTATGTCCATAAGCCATTTGAGAAATTGTGTATTTGATTTCAAGAAGTAACCCTATTAAGGGTTTGGGTATTAACCCAATAGGTCAAACCTTTTGACCACTCATTGAATGAGTTGTTCATAAAATCACAATTTTAATCATATTAAAATATCAATACACTATTAGATTAAGATAGTGTCATTAATCCTTTTCTAGTAAATTTCTCTTACCAATTTTATGTTATGATTTAATCTCATTAAACATAAAACCCATAAAACACAATTGGAAGTCACAAGCATATTTGGTTTACCAATTAAACTCATGAATCTATCAAGTTAATAACACATTCGGCTATTGCCATTAAACTAATCAGATTCGGCCTTTTGACATTTAAACACACAAAATCAGATTTCCAACATGGCAAAATCGGTTTTTAATCGATTAGATTAAGCATACAAGCCATGCTCTAATACCACCGTAAGGTTTCCTATGGACTTAATCAAGTTTACACGCAGCGAAAATCATAAACTTTACCATAGAAACATGCCAAGATCACATGTATGTTAAAATAATCAATAAAGGTTGAGACTTTTACCTTGAGTTAGATACCGAATCTTTATTCAATAAGGTGAGCTCGAATCAATTTCTCTTCCTTGCTCCTTTTTCTATCGATTTGAACAATGGGAGACACTACCTTAACGCGAATGCCCTCTACCTTCTCACACACAAAAAACCTATAGGATTAAGATTATATGTGCTAGCACTCAAACAATCTCACTTTTATTAATTGATGATTTCGGTTTTGAAGAAAGAAAAGGGGGGGGGGAGGGGGCGGCGGCCTTGAGTTAGGAGGAGAGAAAAACCTATTTTCTCTCTTTTATATGTGTTCTGAATTTTGTCTTAGAGTGAGAGAAACTTTTTCTCTCCTTTTTTATTTTTATTTTTATTATGAATAGATTTGTTTCCAATTTGGATGGCAATCTACTTCCTAAAAAATAGGGATCACATTCCTAATCAAATTCCTCTTTAATTATTCTACAAGAATAAGGACTCTTTTACTTGTCATTTAGTTACAAATGACGTTAGGCATATGTCAAAGTGTGCAAGGATTCATTTAAGAATCCATAACGATTTCGAGTTGAGGGATTCAAGAATAAGCATGTGTATGAGAATCACTTATGACTTTCAACCATGTAGTGTTCTCATGAGTGGATCGATCCAAATACACTATTCTCTAACATGTATCTATGTTCCTTGATTGATATCCCATATCCATGACTAGTAAACCATGATCATCTCACAAAGTACATACTAGTCATAGTTTATTGCCATTCCCATGACAATAATCGACTAGGGACATTTAGAATAATATTCTTTTATGCTTCAAGGTTTTACTATCAAATCACGTATTTGATAACTTAAGCAAAATTATTCTATTCATGGATATTTTATCTATTTTAAACATGCACAAGAATGATAATAAGATAAAAAAATGCCTCATATGTATATATATAGTAAAGTAGTCAAAATACAATGTATTGGGCTAAGGCATACACAAACAAACCGCCCAGCTTCATAATTCTCACAAATGCCAATTCGACCAACATGGATGGACCGACAGTACGAACACCAACCTTTTCACAATATCAAATTTCGCATAACCTTTACCAAACTATCCAAACACCTACCTTACCCTAATGTTAGCCCCAAAAACATTATCGGAGCCCACAACAAGTCATAAACCAACCAAGATCACCAAATCAAAACTCTTCAAGGAATGCCGATAAGAGTTAATTCAATAATATATTATTGTCGCTTCTTATATCTCTTGGTAATCTCTATGAGCACCCAGTAACTATTGGCTAGATAGTTCAACCGCTATTTCCTCATTGGTATAAGCAAAATAAGGTTTATGTAGACCACGAGTGGTATCAATGGTCATAATATTAAGAATTGTGTAAGCTTAAAGAAAAGGGTATGAAATTTGATTGATCAAGGCCGATTGAGTTTGAAGTTTTCTCAAATCCTTTGAACATTAATCTCAATCCTTTATCGAATCATGTCGCTATTAGGGGAGTGAAAATGCTATCATTAGATGACATAAAATTAGCTTGAGAGGGGAGCCGAGCAATTGGTTTGATGAAGAAGTGCCTATTGTTTCCAAGATTGAGTGGTTCTTTTATTATGATTATCTTTGCCTTTTTGTCATTACAACATTTTGCCAAACTTTTTATCACACTTTCATAATAATGTTAGTTTATGGGATCATGCAAATTTTTTTTCATCCATGTCTATTTCTTTCCATTCATCTTATTTGCATTTTCTATTTGGGCTATCCGGTATGACCATATCCTAAAAACACCAAATGATTGTTCTAAAATTATTATTGGCCTAACTCTCATGAAACTGGACAAAGAAAATTGTTTTGATTTTCATGGATTGAGTCATTTTTTTTTAAATAAAAAAATTCTACTATCTTAGCATGGTTTATTATTAATTTGAAGTCGAGAGATGTTTATTTGAAAGTATCATTCGCCATCTTATGCCATCCAAGTCGAAAGAAATAAAATGGTGAATGCATTCAACATATTTCAAAGGTGGTCAACTTTTAAAAACATGTTACGCGAATGCTAAGGGGTAACTTTTTTTCATCAAAACCAAAAATGCCTTTTCTCTAGGAGCCTTTTAAGTCAACCTTGCCCGAATAATATAATGATGCCCTAAACAAAAAGCTAAATCATTGGATGATGATAAGTGGTGCACACTCGAGTCGTGATATCATTTGATTTGTTGTTTTTTCTTTACAAATCATGATTTTCAAATGAAACAAAAGCCTATAAACTTGAGCAAGTTAGACTAGAGATGAAGGAAGGCCATTTTTTATATATCCTTTACAAAAAAGTTTTACTCGCTTGTTATCTTGTTTTGAGCCTTTAATAATTTCCTTTAGTAAAAACCCAAACCAGGATCACCCCTCATGTTGGAAGAAAATTTAAGGGTGTATGAAATCGATGATGTTCTCCTAAGAAGTAGAGAATTGGTTCACAAGAATTGATAATGACCTTGACTTTATTCCAAAACAATGGGGTAAAAATAAATAATGACACTAAACAAAAGAAAGTGTTATCTACGAGGCCTCTATCGGGATTTAAAGCTAGAAAAAGGTTGTGAAATCTAAAAGAAAAAAGGATGTGTGTGAAGACGAGAAGAGAACCAAGATTAGAAGATAAGATCGACCATTTGAAATGTCAAAGTCGGTGTGACCAAGCCTAAAATAATTTGGATGAGTGAACACATGATGAGTTTTTATACCCTTAAATACCTTTTGAGCCTTTTCACATCCTTTTATTCATGAGCCAAAGCTTTAGCCTACATTATGTGCCTCCAAAAGCCCTTTCGATTGAGGATGACTTACTTTGTGTTAATAAGGTTTAACTTAAAAAAAAAAATTGCTTGTGTATCATAAATCATTATTCATGGTATTTGATTATTAGTCTTTTATTAAATACTTGAGGGGCAAGGAACAAACAAAAATCAAGGTCTTGCTAAACAGAATACCCATTTAAGCCCGACTTTCTAAAAAAGCCTTCGAGTTTAGAAAACTGTTTGAGCCTACCCGAAAAACCTCCGAGTTAAAAAAAGAAAAACCATCCGAGCTTACCTTTCTTGAAAAGCCCCTTGAGCCCATGACATCTACTCAACCATCTCACTTCCTTTGAGCCGGCATTCGACACCTGTCTTTCCAAAAGTTGAGTCTTCTAAAAAAAAAAAAATCAAAACCAAATCAAGTCAACTTCACTTTTATCCGGAGCAATAAAGGAATCATTTGAGTTATGGACAAAATTCATTAGGGCAATCATTTCAACTTTATTTATCTTATTCTTGCTTTTCCCAATGCAACATAATTTGCCCTATTTATCTTTTTAAATAACCTAATTTCTACAACTATGATCAGTCCCTATAAGGCTTTTCTTTGGTCAAATGCATGGTCCTATGATTGACAATATTTGTGAAACATAATGTTATAGAAAATTGATAAATGATAATATGGTAGGAGTTTTGTTCGGACTTGGTAAACAAGGAGGCTTTCTTTGTGAAACTAGGCATAAGATCTTTCTTGATGGATTAAGAAGGCGATGATGAAAACTAACTCCATCATTTCTAGGTCGAAATCTTCGATATGTGTGACAAAAGCCGAACACTTATGGGCAATACTCTAGGAGAGTGAAAGAATGAACAACCGCTTGCCTAACCATAGGGGCAAATGCCATTTAAATGACATGAACGATAACCCGGTCAAAACATAAAAAAGGGGAGACGTAATCCGAGGACATGTGGTTAAATAGAAAAATCAATAAAAGCGAGTTAGCCTAAAACCTCGAGCCTAATTAGATGATGATGACTCGCAAATGAGGAGATGAAGGGGAAGTTTATGTTTTGGCGAGTGACAATTTATGTTTCTTCAATGACAACTAGGTATGTCTCTTACTCTTGTGAATTGATTTGTTTATTTGCTGATTGATTTGACCTTATCAATTATGATTTTCTTTACAAGCTTACAATGCAAAACTAAAGAAAAATCAATTTTTCAAAGGCTTCGCATCGTAAGCATCATAAAGAGGGAGCAATTGTTAACACCTAAATTTTTTTCCAAAAACATATATATAATAAACAAAAAAGGAAATTTTTTTAAAAAAATAATAATTAAGGGATGCAATTCGAAAGGGAGAAGAACAAGACCAAAATAAAACAAGTTAGTGAGATAAGGGACTAAATCAAACTTTAGTTAAAAACCTTGAAAATCAGTATAAAAGCAACTTTTTCTCAAAAAAGTGACAAATACTATTCATCATCTTTCAAAAAAATCACCCTAGCCACCAGCCTCCACATAAGAACCCACACATGCTTACCGCCCGCCCCTCTCTTGCGCAACAACCTTTCTACCACCATGCCAGTAGCACTCACCCACACCGGTCCACATATGCAGCCTCCCCTCTCAGCCCAACCCGGCACCCACAAACCCTACCCACTCACACACAGCCCCTCATCTAACCATAGCACCACGCCAACAAGCCATCCGTGCTCGCAGCTTGACTCCCTTGCACACAACCAACGAGCTACCCATGCTGCAGGTGCACCTACCTCTTCATCTCTATCTCTTGCCCCAACTTTGCTCACACCACTAGCCACGCTCGGCACACCCAATAGTGCTCGCAATGCCCACCAACCTCCCTCCGACCACATCACTAAGCTAATAGGACACCCATGCCTACAACGCACCTCCCTCATGCGTAACAATCAGGTTACCTAAGCCTACATCGCCCCTCCCTTACTAGCTCTCTCTCTCACCCCGACCTTGCCCAAGCACCATCGACCATGTAAAGGCACCCCCTGTAGTGCATGTAGCCACGCATAGGCATGCCCCGTAGCGCCATTAGCCACGCCCCAAGCACGCCCAACCAGCACCTATATGCCACTAGCACACCCTAGTCGATGAGTAACAAACGAGCACCCCAGTAGGCAAGCCCTCGGGTAGCCCCCATCACTCCTCTAATGTGCGTGCCAAAGCCGGCGCAAAGCCTACCAGCCAAGCACCACCGTCCGAGCCAACATTAATGCTAGCCCGCGAGCCCGAGCCTACCCGTCGGCATAAAACGACCCTCCACACGACCCCGCATGCTAGCCCGCACGCCCGCCAACCCCTATTGATCGGTCACTCACTCACACGTTTGACACCCACACTAGACTCGATAGTGGTCACCACTAATTGATCAACCTAGATCCAATTACTAATCGTCCTTTTGCCTCATACAAGGCCTAAATCTACAACAAGCAACTCGTCGCTCTACCCTAATTGATTGAATAATCGATCTTCATTAGAGTTGAAAGTGTTGGAACTAATCCTAAATTCAACGGTCAAATTTGTACCGTATTTTTACAAGCAATTCATTTTTTAACCTTTTATTTTTATTTTATTAATATATGTATGAAATTTAATTCGTGAGGTTTTTCTTGTAAATTAATTCGTTTTGATGTGTTTGTAGATTAATTAAATTATGGTGATATGTCCGTTAATTAATTATATTATCGTTGTGTTTGTATGATTTGGTTGATGGGTTTATCGTGTAAATGTTTGTTATTGCTAAAAAAATACAATGTTGGTTTATGCTAGTTCGAATCTCGTTGCTTAGGCTATTCATGTCAAATAACGATTAATTTTAAAATTGTTGTCAATTCGCCTAGAATATGACTTTAGAACCGCGTTAATTCAATTCTCGTTGGGATCATTTTTGCCAACTCATCAATTTTTGCATAATTGTCGATTTTGTTCGATTTTCGCCAACTTGTCGATTTTTGAAAACTTGTTGAGTTTTACTATTTTGCCAACTTGTCAATTTTTTCCTAATTTTCTATTCTTGCCGATCGGTCCATTTTTGTTGATTTTTTGCCAATTTGTCAATTTTGCCAATTTATCGATTTTGTCTATTTGGCTTAATTGCCCATCCGCCTCTTTATCAATTTTTCCTATTTGATAATTTGTCGATTTTGCCTATTTTTCAATTTGTCGATTTTGCTTGTTTTACCTACGTGTCAATATTTACCTATTTGTCAATTTTTTTCTAATTACTTATTTGTCAATGTTTACCTAATTGCCTATGTGGTGATTTTGCCTATTTGCTTATTTGGTAATTTATCAATTTGTTGATTTTTCCATTGTTTGCTCGTTTGTCTATTTTTGCTAGTTTTGCTAATTTTGTTTATTTGCCTATTTGTTTGTTTCGCCAATTTACATGCTTTGTTTGTTTGCCTATTTGCGTATTATTTTTAAGTTCTGTTTTCATGCATGCTTTCTAAGTTGCATTAGCGAGCACATCCTTGCATTTCATCATTTGTAGCCATCCATTATAGAGTGAGGGTAAGTCCTCTAATCGACCAAGCCTCGAATCACTCGACTATAAGACAAATATTTGAAAAAATAAGTATAGTCTTTCATCATAAAAAATCAAAAATCAAATCAAAGTTTGTTTGCAATGCAGCTTGCCTTAGGCAAGACAGGATAGGATGATTTTTAATTTTTTCTACATGTAATAAACCCCTTATCTAAAACTATGAACGGATCAGTCATAGTGTTTCCTAGTAACTATAATACTAGGTGGCAGCTCTAGTCATTTTTGCCTATTTTCTCATTTTTACCCAAATTCATTGTCGTCGCCACCGACATCGCCCTATGACAATCACACCATCTATGAAATTGGGTAAGAAAATGTGGACCGAGTTATTCTTCCGTCTAAAAAATTTTGAATTCTATTAGAGAGCATGATATGCATTCTTTTAAACTTACATAGGCTTATGTGGTAACTTTCCTTGGGTACCATAAATTGAAGCTCGTTGTTACATTAATTACTATCCGAATATGTTTCCGAGATAATTAGGATTCGAGCACTTCATCCTAAGAATGACTAATCTAATCGAGTATTATGAGGATCCGAGGATCTCTAAGAAACTTTTAGAGGAGGCCAAGGCTATTTTGAGAAATAGAAGGATTGTCACTTTTGAAAAAAGAGTGGAAGGAAGGACCTCAATTGGATATCCAAAATGAGAAAACACTAGAGGAAAGGGATATTATGTGCCATCATGCCAAGGCCTATCTTGATTGATGAATGAGATAATAAAGGATATTCACCAAGAGGTAAATGCCCAATATGAGATATTCAATGAAGGCTTAAATGGCCTAATTAACCTAAAAGAAGAGAAAATTGGAGAGTCCGGATGCTAACGACCATGTAATGAGTGTTCTAGAAAGATAAAACAAAGAGCTTCGTGGTTAAATCCAACAAACAAAAGAAGTTCTTAAAAAGCTCAAAACCGAACAAGATAGCCTTAAAGAATTTAAAGATTCCATACGAGGATAGATTGCAAATCAATCGGATATGATACACCATCTAAATACTCATATGAAAGAATTGAAAGATAGGAGTAAGCAAGAGCGACCGGTCGGATCCGGAGAAGAGCACAATTTAGGTATGTAAATATTGTCAAGAGAAAAAGACTCTTTAAGGAAGGAAGTAGTTGAGTGGGAAAGCGGGATTATGGAGCATACTATGGAGCTTTTAATTGATGGTATATGCCCGGAAGATGAGAAAGTTCCACTCTTTTATGAGAGACTTTGAAGGCTCATAAATGGCATGATTTCCAATAAAGGCTTAAGGCTATAGCGGGTTTCATATGTAATAGGGCTTTCCTCTATTGTAATATTTTCTTTAAGCCATATTAATAATTGCTAGAATTTTGATTTTTGATTTTTTTTTCAAAAAAAATTATAATAAGAATACTCCTTTTTTTTTAAATCAATAAAGTACAAGTTAGCCCTTCGTATGCCTTTAATGAAAATGCTTCTAAGCCACTAGCATTACTATTAAAGTCCCATCATTCCAGAACTCATGAATGCTTAAGTCATGACTAAAATTTAGAGCAGATTTATCTCATGAATCAACCAAGTATCCGTAGGGTGATTTTTTCCTCGGTGAGTACTAGCTTGATCCGACCCATCCTTGGCAAAATTCTATCATGATTGAATGTGTCAAAAATAAAGAATGACATCTAACTTCGATTCAAATCATTCATTTGTACCTTGTATTTATTATGTATATTCTTACAATACTAGTTTTTTTGGAACTAAATATAGGTCGCTCAACTTAATCCCCTTCGTGTGTCCATAACGCCGGACTAAGGACTTGTCAAATAGAGAATGAAGAGAAATCACGACAAGAACTCATTCGTCAATAGGATTTTGACTTGCTGAAAGAAAATGTGGCTTGATTAAAAACTTTATTAGAACAGGTATTAAGTGGGGGAGGTAGCTTGAATGAAGACAAGCACAACCTAAAATGCCATATGTTATTCCATCACTCAATAAATCTAGGCAATCCACCATATCAGCAATCGATCAAGTGACTTTCCAAGCTGAAGCATCATATCTTGCAAGGGCATTTGCTTATTCAATTAACCCTTGACTCCCACAAATGCCACCTATATCCATCATGGATCCTACGGAGAAAGAAACTTATGGTTATAGGGCAATCGAAGGTCTAATTATTGATAAACTAATGGCTCTTGAAGAATGCCTAAGAGTAGTAGAGGAGGAAGACATCCGTGATCATATTAGGGCCTCAAAAATATGTTTGGTGTTAGATATAGTAATCCTAAGGAAGTTCAAAGTGCCAGATTTTCCAAAATACATTGGAATCCACCCATTTGACGGTTTACTATAGCAAGATACCGAAGTGGTTCTTGATAAACAATTGCTCATCCAGTTCTCTTATGAAGGCTTGAGTGGAACGACTTTAAGCTTGTATTTAAGGTTAAAGAGGTCAAAGATCGGAAAGTAGAAAGATCTAACCAATGCTTTCCTCAAATAACATAACTTCAACATGTAGGTAGCATCGAACATATCGGACCTTCAAGAAATAAAGAAGGGGCCTAAGGAGAAAGTTAAAGAGTTCATGAAAAAGTGGTATGAGGTGGCCATACAAATTCATCCACCATTTTCAGAATTTGAATATCTAATTGCAAATGGTTCAACCAATTTCATCGACATAGTGTTCATTGCTTGAAAGAGTTGAATTGTCGTTGAGGTCAAAAAGATTTCTAAATGCGCAAAGAAGAGGATAAATATGGGGAAAAAGAGGAGAGAAGGGGAAGCCCATAAATTGGCAACCAACGAGACCCAAAAACCACTAGAACAACCTAAGACAAGTACACCTATCAAAGCCAATAGCAAGTACAACCACTATCCTACCCCCAAACACCATACCAAACACATTCCATGTAACATCCCCAACCTAGGCCCTAATGGGTTGAGAATATTACCATCTTTGTCTTACATTTAAAGTATAGTGAAAGCAAGTTAATAAGGAATTATGTCTTTTCTATGGTATTTTTAGGTATGGAATTAGCTAAGGAAGCCTAGCAATGACGGGTAGGTCCTAAATTTTAGGCCAAAATTCACTATAAAGTTTTCATGTTTTAGAATTTTATTTGAATTACTTGGACTGAATGGAATGGATTTATAGCTCTCGGTTTCTCAAATTCCATTTCTATTGGTCCGCATGAATTTATTTAATTATTATATGTTATTAGGTATTTAACTTCTTTAATTCTTATTAATTAGCATTTATTGTTGTTAACTTCCTCATTATGCTCAAGGTCCATTTTATTACAACTAAGGCTTAACAATAGCTAATTAAAAGGACTAAAACTACTTACTACAATGTTATTTCATTACTATCATTTTGTCCTAAAATTTTAGTTAACATACAAACTACCTTTAATTTACCAAATTATTTTCTTAACCTCTTCATTGTTCTTATTTTATTATTAGTGCTAACATGTAAGAAATTAATTAAAAAAAAAACACTAATTATGATACGACTACAATCTCACTATCAATATTTCAACTAATATCAATTAATCTTAATTTACATAT